TATCTTTCCTCTGTCAGAATAAAAATATAATCTAGAAATCGGTGTAGATTAGACAATGGAAAAATGTCTGTTCATACTTTATTATTTTGTTAGAGTTTATGTATGGATGTATTAATGAAACTAAACAACGTTTGTAGAAGCTGATAGAAAAACTAAATTGATATTTTAATATAAATAACTATTATAAGGAAATTTTATATTAAACATGGTAAACAAATTTTCTAGAATTTCTACAAAAATGAAACAACTGACAACATCGGACTAAAATAAAAAGTATGATTTAATAAAAATAAGAGAACCAAAATGTAACTTAAGAAACTTAAATTCCAAGAGCGAATAACTAAACTTATTTTTAATAAAATTTCTGAAAATTTAAAAGAAAAAAGTCTTTAGACTATTTTTAATGCGCCATAACAAATTATAGTTTTAGGAAAGAAACGCGGAATTATTGCGTATAGCTATAGCCATTAAATATTTTTTTCCACCACGCTGAAATACTTAAGCAAACCGACTCGCATCGCAAAATAAAGATTTTAATATGCGCAAAATTGAGACATAAATTAAAGTCACATAATTCTCATTAAAAGGCCGTAAAGGAACCATTGCCGCAAAAGTGAGGAGAACAAAGAAAAGCGAATGGTCGGCCAGTAATAAAGATATATGCACCTTAATGTTCGTATATGCGGACATCTCTTGGGAATGGGAAAAATGGGGATTTGGATTGGGAAGCCAAAGACATTTGGCACCCAGATCAAAGAGCAACGACATTTTGCCCATAATTTAATAGTTTCGAAATACAGAAATTAAAATCTTAGGCAAATCAAAATAAACTAGGCGTAACGGCCACCAAATCCAACGCACACAGATGCTAATTGGCAAGAGTCTTATTGGACGAGCGAGTGGGACGGGGCGAGCGGCGAGTGAGGGAGACAGCTGCCACCCAGGGCGTTAAGTGGGCGGCGTTTCCTCAGCACCGGAAAAGGGGGAAAAAGGGGGGACCCCAGAGCCTCTGGTTTTTTGGCCTGCGCGCGCAATTTAAGTTGAAATTTATGCGCAGTCCAACGGAAGGCACATTAAAAATGGAAAGCAAACGCTCGGCTCAATGTGCTAAACGGCACATGTGATTTAAAACCGTATTTATTGTGGCTTTAATGTTTTTATTATTTCGGATTTTCGACCCTTGTTTGAGCGACTCCGGCCATTTGTCTTCGGCGAGGCGTGGAATTTTTTTGACACAAAGGAATTTGTTAATTTCGATATTTGGCTCTGTGGCAGCGATATATTAATGATTATGAATATGTCCGGACTCCGGAGTGGCAAAACAAAATCATAAACTACACAATGCGGCCATCCGCACACAGATGTTTGGTCGTATTTTGTGCGATTGTGTGTGGCACAATACATGTGCATAAAATATTTAGCAACGCTCACACGAGCTTAGATTGCATAATGCATATTTTATGAATGTTTTCGTGTTTTTCCCCCTGCTCCACGCCACTCTCCACTCTTTTTTCTTTCTGTGCCAAGTCAGGTCGCTCAAAAAAGTGTTGAAAATAAAAATAAAGTGCGCTGCCAAGGGGAGGCTAAGGGTAGCACATTTTAAAGCCACTGCGGCAACAAAAGGAGATGTAGAACAAACAGCCAAGCACATGCCACAAAATGTTGCCACTGTTGCCTCTGCCACTGCAAAAATCGACACATCGTTACAGTATGAAGAGCTAAAAAACCTAAAAAACCTTCATCTATATTACATTTTTATTTGCAAGCAGAACGGGCTTTTCGGCTTTTTAATCACTCTAGATGTCTAATCTGTATGTATAAAAGTTAGTTCGGTACTGATTTAAATTTTTGAATCTAAATAAATACTTGCATTATTCGTGTTATACTGGTAATTGAATTATATATTCCAAAAAAACACAACACTTTAAGTTTTTAGTACTTAAATAATTGCATTACACTCATATTTTATATAAAAATATTTAATAAATTTACTAATATTACGAAACATATTGGAAATCAGTATTCTTGAAAATATAGTTTTAAAGTTCTTCCTACATACATACCTAATATGGGCCACTAAGATTTAATTCAATGGAAAATAAAATATTATAATGGGATCTTTTGGTATTCTGTGTGGTTCAGCAATACTTATTATATAGTATAAAATTAATATTTAACACTATCAATTAATGCATGCCCATAAGAAATACTAAAAAGTATTTTTACTTTATTGGGTTATTGAAAGCAAATTTTTTTAAATGATGTGTATATGGACCTTTTCTTAAATAAATTTAAATACTATTTAATTTAAACGAAAGTATTAGCACTTCCTAAAACGTAAAGATTTCACCCACTGTGCACTTGGCCCCATTGTTGCCGCTTGGCCAGTTGCTCGGATTTTCAGTTGGCCTTGTTTGGCTTGCTGGCCACTGGCTGAGTGCACAAACACTCATGTGTGTTGGCTGATGTCAATCCATCATTTGCCTTAACACCATGATTTGTTTATTTGACGAGCTGTATTAAGAGAAATGAAACACAATTGCGATTCGTGCTCCGCTGCTGATTGCCATAAATAAATAATTTTCAAATCAGACACTGGCCAAATCCCCGGAATGGATGCGAGTGGAGGAGTGCATGCTTGATTAGGCTCTCAATTGTGTGGATAGTTTTGATATGTTGTAATCAAGAAGGAGGATGCAGGAAGCTGGTTGTTCTACACCGAAATTAAAGGCGAAATAAATCGTATGCGTAAGTGGAAACTCTTGTCAGTCGAAGCACCTGAGCTGCTTCCCTTTGACATTGCCATTTGGATTTATGGGCCCGTTTTTTGGGCCAATAAAACCGGGTGCACCGCCAACAACTTCCTCTTTAATAAGCCCATAAAGTAACAGCCACTTAAAACTTGTTGTTGGCAGCAGAGACATCAATAAACGGACTCAGAAGAGCTGCCAAATAAGCCGTGAACGAGTTCCGCCTCCGCCGATGCCACATAAACGTCAGTGCCACATCATCAACATCTTATAGCAACCCCTGGAAAGCGCCTGACTGTCCCTGTCTGTTTATAGAAATTAAATGACTTCAGACAAAATATGAAACATAAACTCAAGTCAACACTTTGATATTGAACAGCAACACAATGGCCCCTTTCTCAAGACCCTCAACCCCCAATACCCAACATAATATTAAACCCGGGCCACATTTGTGGCCGCTTCCTTGGGCTTTTTAACACTTTCGCCTGTCGAGGCAACCAGCTATGTTGTTGGCATATTTTTAGTGAGATTTTAAAAATTTAAATTGTCGTAATCGTAAATTAATTTCATGGCACATAAAAATGCAGCATGCCATGCCCGGGAACACAACAGATACAATGTTTTTTTGGGGGCCTATGCTTGTTTTCCTGTCGCCGAACGGCCCAAATGATGCTTTGTTTTATAACGCAATATATTCAAAATACATTTTCCGCTTTTATTGTGTTTTGAGTGTGCTCAGTTGGTTTTGATCGCCATGTGAAAAATACATTTTTGGGAATACAAAACATACACCAGAATAACCAGAATGACCGGGAAATACTTATTTGCTTAGTTAATTTCTCGGACGGGCAAAGTGATTAAAATTAATATAATGCAATATTTAGAGGATGCATTAAAGAGTCGTAAAAGCATTATATTCTACAGTATCTTAATTAGACGTGTAAATTATTTTTGCCGCCGACATTCGGCTGCACACGAGTCGCCTGCAAGTGATATTTGTGTCAACGCCTCGTAATAATTACCCAGCCAGACGGACAAAAAACGGCGAAAATGTGTTGCAAATGAACATGGTTTTATAAATACACATCAAGTGCAATTAGGCAGGAAATGCCATGCGGTAATTGTTTCCTCAATGTGTCAGGCCAGTCGAAGGTGTGAAGATCCCACTATCGAGACTCATACTTGCCACATATCTCATCTATTGGACACACCGCACAAATTAAGGGCCCCCACACGAGAACCAGTATTTATGATGAATTAATGCAGTAAATGCAACTTGTAAATCTGTCACGCGTCTCAGTAAATCATCCTGCATAAGTAATGTGCAGTTTAGCCCGGAGGAAACAACCAGAATCCGAAAACGATACTCCCCTCGAACCACTTTGTCACTCGAGATACTCGTACTCCCCATTCTCCGGCTGCAACAGATGCCGGGAAAAAGAAAAGAAGAAGTCGGGGGAGTGTGAAATTCTGGGTGCTCTGTGGCGGCTGAGGGCGGTCCGCGGCTAATCTATGACAGAAAACATGTAACCGGAGTGAGCAGCCGAAAATAACTTGAAGTCGGGGATTTTTGGCTTCATTTGCAGCTCTTTACTTCGCAATATTCCCAAAAGACCCGGCCGTAGGGCCCTAAAGTTCCTTGGGGCGGTGATCCCGCGGCCAATTAAAATCCCAATCACGGTTTTACAATAGTGCATTGTGCGCCGAATTTAGTTGTTCAAATTAATAATGGTGCACACAGAACAAATTTGTGCATTTCAAAAGCACAGATAATATTTGGTCCTTATATAACATCACTGTCACATCTTTAGTTTTTCATATCATATTAAAGTTATTTTCCTTATAATTACAATTATCAAGTGGCATACTAACATGACTAACAATAAATGTTGAGGGGGTAAAATATTTAACCCCTTGCTAAAAAGGGACTATCTTTTTTAAAGTCACAACAAATATTATATATTAAATTTGTGTCATGATCATTACAGCTGAAGAAGCATTGGTAAACCTCGTGTTTTTTATGTTAGGAATCTTTATGCTTAAACTTTACTTATTACATTATACAGAAACTACAACAATTTTAGAATAATGTGTAAAGGTGTCTAAAATTATGCAACAACATATTTTAGTACGAATGTCTGAAGGAAATTCAACGTTTTTTTACTGCATACTATTCGACACCCTTATAAGTGTTTTAAAAACATGTGATTTTATTAAGATTTTTTTTACAGTATATGCTACCATGTGCTGTTTTCTGAATCCCAGCTCCGTCTGGGGGCGGCACTTTCTTTTTATGACTGCTCTGCTGCCGTCAAATAAGTGAAGCGCGAACTAATTCAAATTTGTTGCGCTGACATGTTCTACAAGATCTGTTTCTGCGACGGAGATGCTGCCCTTGTCGATCGTCTCCAGCTCATTAGCCTCTTCCCGTCGTAGTTATTGTCTAATTTTAATTAATTTATCACAATCATAAAGTGGCGCAACTTGTGACATTCTCCCCCGGCGATGCCCCCGCAACAAATCACTCACACGCCTCGTTGACCGACCAGAAACTTGCGAGGGGAGACATAAATTTCCACCCGGGATTCTTGGCATTGCCCGACAATCAAACGGAATTTACGACAACTTCTCGTCTCGTCTTTTATTTTGACATGCTTAACAAACAGGCGAACTCGCAACAGCTCATTTGATTGGGTCGTTTGAATGCCACAGCAGGTAGGAGCTGCACCCCAGTTGAATAATATGCAATACAAAAACTGAAAATACACCGCAATATGGGACTAGCTATATCAATATGTGAACTTCCACTGGTTCTTCCAGGTCTCCCGCTTGTACACATTCTTGTAGGTCTCCACGGAAACCTGGAACTCCGGACCAAACAGGGTGTTTGCCACAACATTCTCCACAGCCAGATTTCGATTGGTAACCGCATGAACAATGAGCAATGGATAGTTTACCTAAAAGTGATAGGATTGACATATTATATTAATAATTGAATATATAAAGTTGAAGAAGGAACCGTAACGAAAGTAAGCTCAATCAATAAAAGAGTCTAAAACTGTGTTTTATAAATAATTTTCCCTAAGTGTAATAACACAAATGGTGGAGTTTGAGGAAAATTTATAACATAACATATCTGTATTAAAATATAATTTTGTTATCATAAATTGAATTCGAATTGATGTTTAATTGTTAATCTGATATTTAAACACTCTTAAAAACCCCTTTTTAAGGCAGTTCTCTCGATAGTAAGTAGTAAGCCAAAATCGATTAGTCCCAAATTTTCAAAATCAAGTAAGTGTTCTCTTTTTTCGTCTCGAAAAACAGTCAAGAATTTTTTCAACTCTCTTTTCAGAGCGTCTTTACATGCAAAACGCCTTTGAGATAAGTTTCATCTTGATTTCAAGAATATTTCTTCAGAGCGTCTTTACATGCAAAACGGCTTTGAGATAAAATTCATCTTGATTTCAAGAATATTTCTTCTCGAATAAGTAATAAATCAATTTTTTTTTCACACTTACTGGTATAGTTTTGCCCTCGCTTTCGAATCGCAGATCGGGGTCCTTGTGCGCACAAAAAAAGTGAGTGTGTGAAGAGGGCACCCGGGCAGATGGACCGCAGTTCTGTTGGGTATTTAAGTGTGGTTAGTAATACATTTAAGAAGGCGAAAGGGAGAATAGACCTTGTGCGATACCAAACCCAATGGAAGTGTAACCTCGCCGTGTTTGGTGGTGTAAAAGGCCTTCTCCACGGGAAGCGATAAGTTCAGCCTCTTGGGTCCGCTGAACAAGTACATGGGCTCATCGGCGGGCTCTAGGGTTTGGAGTCGGAACTTCTCGCCGTACGCCAGGTACTGACCGGAGCGGTCGTCGTCGTTCGGACTGACAATCCTAAAGCTGCTGCGCAGCGAGGGATGTGGAGCAGGTGCCACCGAAAGGTCGCACATCTCATTGATGGTGTGGCAGTTGCGGTGCAGGCCCTCCTGGGTGATGACCACCGACAGGACCAGGTTCTGATCTATGTCCTGCTGGCGGCAGACGTTGATCTTCACGGGGCGGAGCTGCACCAACGCGCCGAAGGCCAGCACATCCTGCGGAGGACCCAACACCGTCTCCTGGTAGAAGCGGTCGTAAACGGCTCGGGTTCTGTCCAGCAACAGGTTGCCGCTTTCCCTGCGCTGCTTCATTTCGCTCACACGCATCTTGAAGTTGGAAAATGTTACTTATTTATGAAATCCTTATTGTTTTATAAATATTTTTGTATTATTTAACACAAAAAGATGTAAAAAAATCCCTACATTTACCTATGACATTGCAAATAATCACTCAAAATTTAGTTTAGTTCTTTTATTATAAAGATTAAAAATAATAAATTTACTGATTAAAAAAAAATAATATTTAATTCCATTGCTTGAATTATTTAATTTTTTTCTGAAATTTTAAATATACGTAGATACCCATATTTTGCATGTGTAATAAGTACAATATTTACACATACATTAGAAAATCAACGGTCGTTTAGAATAGGATTTCGCATATCAATTATAATAGTTTAACCTTCAAAAATCGAATCAATGGTCTTGAATAAAATGAGAACAAGGGTTGTAAAATTCAAGTCCAATAAAATAAATGATTATAATTTGGTCACAGATACGATAAGAAATGCTCACCTCCTCGGACAAGGCAGTTTCCAGCCAGTTACCGACTCTCACTCCGGGACCATACATGGCTCTGCTATAACTTAAAAGATGGATAATAGGAATGGCTGTATTTCCACATTTATATGTGGCAGTACGTCAGGTGGTGAACAAGCTTCCCGCCTCTCCTAGTATTTTTGTGTGGTGTGTTTACCTAGTTACAGCCTAGTAACCACCTACTACGATGTGTTTTCTTCAAGATCAAAGACACATACATATAGTTCCCTGCTCCGGGAGCCACACACAAAGGCTACCCACCGGCAACTAACCGAGCATAAAATTTGCATGCGGCGCTTTGGTGGCGGCTTCATCTTTGATCCTGTCAAAGAGGCGAAAATAAATTGCTCAATTATGAAATATTAACTGCACACGAGGCCGGCGAGGAGCCGAGAGTCCCTGGCGCAAGTTAATTACTCATTTGTTGATTGTCGACTGTGGTTAATGAAGTATCCAACTAATTACATGTCGAGACGGGCCGAGAGTGCGCATGTCATCAGTAGTCCTCCGAGGAATTGCCGCTCATATTGAAAAATGCCGCTGCGGAAATTGAAAATGCCGGGGGCATCTTTGGACCGCTTTTCCACCAGCTGCCGAGGAGCCAACGACTTGGAGCCGGCAATTTATTACCTTTCCCTTTGACATCTTGACACAATGTCGCCATCCCTCTCGGCACCCCATCTTCATCTCGAATCCGGTGGCTCGCGTTTCGAGTAGTTTCCGTGGAGCTCTGAAATCACCCGCATTCATCTTTTGACAGTTGAAACTCATCGCACTGGCGTCTAATTAGATTATTTGTCAGCTCCCCTGCTGAATGGTTAGTGGCTCATCCCCAAAACTTTGGCATTCCTTCTCGATTGGCCCAACATTAGTGGGGTGAGGGTGGGGAAAACTAAGGAAAGGGGCTTGCTAATTAGATAGTCCATCACTTGGATTGGTTAGGTGGAATAAACTGATGTTAATGTGGTACTCGCAAGACCATTAAATATTTACATAGTACTTTTTAAAAACGAAAACAATTTGGGTGGATTGTTTCTTTGGATATCCCAAAATTCGACATAGATACCGTGTAGAGCCCTGCATAAACAAAACGTTTCGATCGCAGATATGATCTTAATTATAAATATATCACTTGTTATAGATATGTTTCGAAACATTCCGAGATAAGCTTTACAAATGTTGATTATAAGGATGATAAAATATTTGGAGCTGTACGTCGGATCTAAAATATATAAAATGCAATCTTTTGAAGAACTCGCGGTTACGTTTTGGTTTTTTCCCTTTTTAGGAACCGCGGAATAAATGTCTCGATTTAGATATTTTAGAGCAAGAACTAAAACATGCCGAGAATCTATTAGAATCCGCAGGTGAGATCTCTAAGTTCAACGTCTGGAAAATAAATCGTGATCATAGGTATTGCTGCCTAAAATGTTTTAACTGTTTGACCTAAAAAGAAATTTGGGTAAACATATTTTAAAAACAAAACCTTGTTACTTGTAGTATTGAATTTTATTTGTATTTCCTTTTTATTATATTTTGTTTTTTTTTTTTTTGCTTAAACAAACAGGAAACAATTAACTTAGCATTATTTTTACAATTAGCTTTAATTAGAAATAATAAAAATATTGAAGCTTTTTATTTTTTTATCCTTTTCTGTTGTGTTTACAATGTTTACGTGTATTTAGTTTACAATAATTTGTTTAAATGGTACTGTTTATTGAAATAGATGTTCGCGTGTATATACAGTAAAGCAGCGAGGAGCGGCCGCGACCCAAAGCCAAACTATCCCGGATATATATCGCTATATAAGTAGTTGATATTTGGCGTTGTCGCGAAAGCGCTCGTACTTCCACTTTATGTTACAACAATTTAGTTAATTCGACTACTAAATATACATGTTACATGATGCCGCATAATGCTTTTCTGCTGCTTTGTTGATTTATTTTAATTTACTCGTTTAATGTATAATTCCATTAATTGTTTTTACGTTTCCCCACCTTCGGTTGCATCGCTTTAAGTTTACCATTTTTGTTAGAATTTCTCTTTTTCTTTTCGCATTTTTTATGTACATAAAAACAAAAGGAACTATATCTTTCAGTCTTTTTAGTGTGTGTATGTGTAATGTATGTAAATGTGTGTGTGGGTGTGGGTGTGGGTGTCGGTGTGCATGTGTGTTTGTGTAGAATATCTATTGTTTCGTTATGCATATAGCGTATTACATAGTTAAATTAATATAATTGTTTCTTTTTGTTTCTTTTTTATTTTGTTTGTTTTTTTTATAATTTTTACTTCAGTTTTCAGTGTAAATATCGCTTGCTTCCCAGTTTTGTTTATATAATTAGCACTAGTTGTTTTCCTCCTTTTACTTTATATATTAAAATTAGTTCAAGGTCTCCTCCCAAACGCTTTCTCCAACTTCTCGTTCTCGTTCTTACAGTGCCTACGATCTAAGTAATTTGTATAATTCATTTAAATATTTAGTTTCCTTGTTTTCGCTTTGCATCTATAAAATAAAAACAAAAAACGTTGCACATGCTTGTGTTTCTGCTTTTGCTTTTGTTTTTGTTTGTTTTTGCTTTTCTTTGCTTTCATTTAGTCATTAAATATATGTGTTTGTATAGTTAAATATATAATAATATAAAGAGCGAAGGCAAATATCGAATACTTTTGTTGTAGTTGTTTTTCGTTTAAAAATTCCATTTGTTGCAGTTGTTGTCGATAATGTAAATGTTGTTGTTTTTGTTGTTGTTGCTGTTGCTGTTGCTAAAGTGGGTTATTGCTTATTTCGGGTTTTCAAGAGAATGTTGTGTGCTTTTGCGTTTTGGATTTGGATTGGACTCGGGGTTCCGATCCTCTGCTAGAAATCGGAGAACTGTCAGGATAGTACACTCAGCAAACATATCACGTTCAGTTCCTAATTATGTGTAAATATATATGTATGGTATATAATTTGTCTATTGTTTCGTCTATGAGCTATTGTTGAATAATTAAATTAGGGAAAACAAAATCCGTCCGGTTTCTTGTTCATATTTGAGTTAATGGCGTATGGCAGATTATTTAGGTCTAGTGAAAGTGTTGTATATGAGTCTATGGATTTTTTGTTTCGTTAAGATTTGCTTTTATCTATAGTTAGTACATAAAATGCTTTTGCTTCGTATATAGCGTGTGTTGTATAAAAAACGACAGCAGATTGTATACAATAATTATGATGCATCAGTTAGTTAAGCTCTCAGTTTGAAATTACGTTATGGTTTCCTCTTCCTTTTTAATTCCCTTTCATTTTCCGAAGCTTGGCTTCAACGAAATTTAATTTAGAAAAAAAAATTAAACAAAAGTTTTTGCGCTTGCTTTGGCTCAATGGGCCAAGTATGTAGATGGTACTTCTAGAGCAGAGCAAACTTTTGCCAGTTAAACAATAAATATTACAATTACGCAATAAAAAAGAGAAGAAACTATAGGTGAAATATGAACAATCAAGCAACACTTACCACTTGCTTAAAATAATCGTAGGTGTAAGTGTATAAATAAAAATCAGGGGTAAAAGTGCTAAAACTGCATGGCATTTCGACATGCTTCTAAAATTAGCTGAGTAACATTTAAATTTAGTTACGTTTAGGTATTTGGATAATTATAACTATCGCTAGCTAACTCAGTGAAGACAGTTGTTGTTTGTTTTGTTTTGTTTTGTTTTTGTATTGCTTGTTTGCTGTTGTATAGTTCATCTATTTCTGTTTTTGCTGTTGTTCCGTTTCCGTTTCCGTTCTGCTGTTTTCCCCTTACTCTCGCCTTGCTCTCTGCGATTTGGTAGGTACTAGAAATTATCATAATTAATATACGTAGTAGGTATGAGTTATAAGTTATAATTGGTAGAATTTGTATGTCTATTTAAACGGTACTTAGGTTGGTTGGTTGTTGGCTTTTGTACTTTTGTTATTTGCATGTAGGACTTGTTTTTCTGTTTCTGTTTTCTCTGCTTTCACTATCGTTCTCTGCTCTCGTTTTGTATTGCGTTAACGGCTCTAGTTCATTAATTTAAACAAACAAAAAAAAAGTAGAGTAAATACTAAACGAATACGTAAACATAAATAGGCTTAATCGAAACTATTGGTATTATACATGTGCGGTCAGGGTGGTTCGATGTTTTGAACAGAGAATCATAATGGAGGTAAGCAATCTTTTTGCCTCGTTCTTAGCAATTTAGCCCTAGTTTAATTATTCTCATTTCTTTTCGTATAATCGCTGACAATACCGTCTAAAAACACATTTGGAAAAAAATAAATTCTATGAATCTCAATTTTACAAATTTTAAAAGTCAAGTCAAAAAGGATTTACACTAAAATGTTTTTTCCTCATCAATGAATAATTTAGAGCAAAATAAGTGACTTTAATTTTGCAGCTACTTTGCTAGAAATAGACAGTTGATTGCTTCCCGATTCCACTGATATATAAATATTTTTCTTCCACTCTAATCTCGCCACCCTAGTTTGCAGGCATGGGAAGAGTCGAAGTCAAGGAAGCTTGGCTTGCGGCAAAAGTTTGCTACTCTATACCCGTGCGTCTTCCCCTCGTTAATCTATTTACAGGTTTTTCTACAGAACTACGGTCCAAACGATTACGCCTCCCTTCCGATGAATCCATTGGGCGGCGGAGGCCTCGGCGTGCTCGCCGGGCGCAGCCAGCTCTCCTTGAGCAGGTTGGACAGGTTGCCGGCCCCAGTAGTTGGGACTCCGGAGTTGCTGTTCGTCGGCGACTTCCTGGTTTGGCTGACACTGCGACTGCGAGGCGGCTGCGACTTGCTGGGCACCGCCCTCTGCCTGGGCCGACTCAATGGAATGCGCTCCATCTTGATGTGCTCCACATGCTCATCATCCACATCGTCGTCCTCGTCGTCCTCCTCCTCCTCCAGTTCATTGTCCTCGTCGGAGCTACTTTGGCGTGCATTCAACGGCGCCTGCATGGGCTGGTAATTCGGATTTTGGCTGATGGTCACTCCCGCCATCTGAACAGGTGGCTCATTCATGGGCACATAGTTCGGATTGGTGCTGATCAGACTGCTGGGCGGGTGCATCATCTCGTAATTCGGATTGGGACTGCTGGTGGTCAGGATGGTGGCCTGTTCGCTGGCCATCGATTCGTCCAGCAGTCGGTAGTTGGGATTGTCGCTAATGGCG